TTTTCCTAGCTGTGCATGACTTCACTCAGGTGCCTAGACTGTTTCATCATTTTCATTGGATTAGTCCATTGCTGTATCCAGTTGTTTTCTATACAAATTATTCTAATTCTCTACTTCTCAGCCATCAAATCCCACCTTTCACATTATCTCTTCAAGGTCTGAGATTCCTTTGTGATTTTGTGATCATGTACAGCATCAGAATTATAGGCCTGCCAACTTTAAACTTTTATTTCTTTTTAATAATCTCCTTGGTATTTTGTCAGCAACTTCAGGTAATTTCTGGATAGAAAGGTGTGCTGGATAATTGAAATTTCTTTAATGGTATCTTAATTGAAAAATGAAACATGAAGGGAGGCTATATTCACAACTAGTCAAGAGAAGGAGGAGGGGAGCAGAGCATAGATATGGTTGAACAGTTCAGCTTCATTTCTGGATTTCAAGAGCTCTCACTGCTTGATTTGTTAGCATTGCTGTTGCTGTTGCCATAATTCAGGTTATTTTTGCATGAGTGTGTGTGCGTTTAATCAGCTAAGCATGAAATCCCTTGCATTTGTTTATCTCTAATAGTAGCAACAAAAGAAATCAGGAGATGAGTCCTGAACAAAGCAGAAATATTGGAGTTTTTCACCTCAAAAAGGAGAGTGAAAGAAGTACAGCAAATAGGTGAAGACAGACTCAATGGAGGAAGCGGTAATTCAGTGATGTTCCTTGCGCAAAGCTTCAGTGTGTGAGCTGTGGGTTTGGCCACTCCTGCTACAGGTACCACGTTTAGTGATTTTCCTGGAAGAAACTTCTGTAGGCGTCTAAATGGCCACTGTCTAGGGTAGTCAGTTTACAGGCTCATCTTAAAACTGGAATAATCTGATTGGAATAGAAATCCCTAAGTAAGAGCAGGACTGGCTAACTCTCTTACCTCTTGCATTAAACATGCATGTGCATATCATGTACACCAACAAGTAAAACGGAAGTGCAGTGGAGCTGAACATTTTCCTACCAACTGCAGCATGTAATTGTTGGAAAAAATAAGTGATTTTTTCCAATACTGGCTAAAAGCATAAATTTTCTCAAGGTACTGTAATTTTAGGAATTTGTTTGTTTGTTTTTGGGGCTTTTTGTTTTGTTTTGTTTTTAAAGGAAAAAAAAACAACTTCTGCCTCTTTTAACTTGCTTCCTATCCAGTGGCTATATTTGCTGAAGAAATCAGACTTGTGTCCATATCTGACAAGTTTCAAAAGACCAGCTAGAATGTTAATACACATTTTTCTTAGCTGTTTGACTTTTCTGAATGGAGAAGGGAGTACAATGGCATGCTAAATATTTTTGATATATTTCTCTTTCTGGGTTTCAGGTTTGGCATGTTTACACCTTATAAGCACTTTTTACATTTTAGACTTCACTGTAATGCATCATGACATCTTAAATAATGGTTCAGTGCTCATCCATGCTTTGTAAAAAATCTCAGGATTATGTTCATAATCAAAAGTAGAATAATGAATGTAGTCTTATTTCTTCATATTATTAACTCTGAATTCTCTGTGTGTTCTCTAGAGGAGAACTGGGATTGTTTGGTTTGGAGATGAGGCTCAGGGCAGACCTTATCACTCTCTTTTGACTGCCTGGAAGGGAGTTGTAGCAAGGTGGGAGTTAGCCTCTTCTTCCAAGTAACAGTGATGAGAGGTAATGGCCTTACGTATTGCCAGGGGAGGTTCAACTTGGATATTAGAAAAAACTGCTCAGAGTGGTGAGGTACTAGAACAGGCTGCTCAGGGAGGTGGTGGAGTCACTGTGCCCGGAGGTGTTCAAGAAATGTGTAGATGTGGCATTGAGGAATATGGTTAGTGGGCATGATGGGGATGGCTTGACAGTAGGACTAGTCTTTTCCAGCTTTAATGATTCTGTGATTCTAGATGTAGCTTCCAAAGTAGTGAGTCAGCTTAGTCTCTGAGTACTCTCTGGGTGTTTAAATAACCCTTGTTTGTCTGGGATTTTGTAACTTTTAAGTTGCTGACAGAGCAGGAAGGCAATTATCATTCTGTCTGACTACTGATGTTTTTGATGGTAGATTCTCCATTGAGTTTGTGAGGAGGAAGACTGAAAAAAGTTTATAAAATTTAAATATATTATTAAAAATGTCTCCTGAAACGTGCTGATATTAGGAGAATTGTAGTACTTCTCATGCCAGCCAGTGTAAAGTAGTATACGCAGCAGCTTAAATTTCAACAGCTTTTTGGAGATAAACTATTTAATGTTCTTCTTTATACCAGGAAAAGAAAGATATTTGCAGAAGGAAATCATCCTTGCATAAGGACAAAGAGATAGGAGACATGAAAAGAGGATGTTTATATAAAAATATGAGAGTGGTCTGAAGCAAACAATTCTACTGACTTTGGTGTGTGTGCTGACTCTCCTCTCAGCATCATTCATATCTGTCTATGCATACAGATAAAGGATGAGTGATTGGGTGGTGGGTCTGCATGTGCTGCCTAGGACACTCAAGATCACCTAGATTTTTGATCATATATTCAATCAACAGCAGCTAAAAACTTCGTAGGCTAACTCAGATTTTAGGAAATCAACACTTGAGATAGACTGAAGTTCACAAAAGCAGTCTGTGGAGCCCTTTTCACACACACAGCTTCTGTATGTATCCTACAGATGGCAATAATTTGGCAGAACTGCAGATAATTAATGTTTTCAGGGCTGTAAGATTTGTGTCTAGTTACACAAGAGCTATCACAGAATCTAGACAATGAGAAGCATGGATTTTCATCAACTAACTTATTCATTTGTTTTTAATGTGATATCAAGAAGTTCTTGCAAACATGCTGTCTTTATGGGGACAGATTGAATACCCTTTAAAGACTGGGTACAAAGGGCCTGACACGGGCTCAAGAGCTCTGAAGAGCTTCAAAGAATTTTATGTGGCCTTCAGCCTGATATCTTAAGTGGAAACGCAGTTTGAAGGAGCTTACGCTGTGCAATAAACTCAGTTGGTGTTTTTCACAAGTACCAGAGTATCATATTTGCTATGATTTTCTAGAGTTCATAGGGTAAGCATGGATTGACGTCAGGGAGTAAAGCTGGAAGACATGTTTATCTAAAACACATATAAGAGCTATCCTTCTTGAAAAACATCTGGCAGAGTCAAATTTTAAGAGGCAAAGTTTTTATTTTTAAACTATTGCCTTTGTTCAACTTAATTACTACAATAAATGTGTTTTCTCCTAAAATGTGTCTTTCACTTTTTTATATAGTGCTGAAGGAATTTAACTGTTCTTGAATTTATCCTCTTTTTTTTTTTTTTTTAACAAAGGAAAATTATTTTGGCATGGCAATGATGTAGAGCGAGAAGACTTTGGGATGTGGCAGTTTTTAATTGTTTCTACTACCTGTTTTGCGGGACTCTCATCTCTGTGCAAGCCTAGACTAGAAGAAATATTTATCAAGACAGTATTATTGCAAGGTATTCTGTCTTCAGATGATCTCCTGCTCAGTTTTGTGTATCAGCACATGAGCTCAGTCTCGGACGTGTTTAAAGTAACTGGGAGCTGCACGTCAAGAATCCTCTCAAAGTAATCTTAAATCATACTGGTGGTACCCATATGGCTACAACACAGGTATAGTAATTTAACACTATGTAGAAGAAATTCAGTAAAACTTCTGTAGCTACAGTGAACTATCTTTCGTAATCATTTTCTCATTCAGAGTCCTGCTTAGGGACACAGAACCAGCAGTTTGCCTCATTGTTTTATTAACATCTCTTCAGTTTCTTGGAGTACCTGGTAGTCATGAATGAAAGAGGCATGCATGAAGGCAAATACTAGAATATTTTCCTGAAGACTGGGTTTCTTTATTCAGTGCTGTGATTGGCTAGTCTTTAAGATGGAAAAAACTGCTTAAGTCTCATAATGATCTGCACCCCCAGGGTAGAAGTGGAGACTTCTGTTGCTGGAGGTTCAAAAACTAAAACTATGTAAAGACAGAACATGCAGGAGAGAGAAGTGAATGCACAGACCAGTTTTCTAGTACTTATATAGCAAGAGTAATCCTAGATGAAGGCAACAGATACTGGGGAAAGAGAATGTATATATATATATTTATATATATATGTGTAGAGGGATTATATCTTGGACTTTAAATCTAAAATTGCTAGCCTTCCCAGAATTGTATGATTTTATGTTTTTGTGTAGTTTTCCATGTAGCATCTAAAGGGTCTAATTAGCCGTGCTAAGGACTTGAAGGACCTGTTGGATTGTCTAGCCTATTCTGGCAGTGCTAATTAAGAGGCATTGGCAGAGCCATAGGCTAAGCATTGTGTTAGTGATTTGTATTCTTTGTTGTGATTAATTCATACTTTTCTAGGAAATAGTGAGAAATCTACATTTTTACAGCCAGAGCTATGTCCAACAAAATACATTTCTTTCAAGTTGTACTCTTTAACGTTTGAAATTGTAGAGTAGGAAAAATGCTGTCTGCCTTCTATGCACAAAGCAAGGCTAGGAAGGAAATCAGTTGAGCAGAGCTCCCAGATTCTTTCCTCTGACAACAGAGAAAACCTGTCCAGAAGCTGTTCAGTAGCTGCTTTGGTGTTTACACCAGGTATTGCATTTAGAAGTAGAGTTTTCGGCCAGTTTTGCTTTCAGAAGGAAACTCATGAATACTGAACTGCAGAGTTGTGTAGGGCGTGTGCCTACGTCACTGCACAAACTCTGTTGACTCTCTTCGAGAAATATAAGTCACTTTCCTTACTCCAGCTCCATGAGTTTCATGTGAGTAATTAACAGGTGTATTTGTTTTGTTGTAAAACTGCTCTAGATTTCAATTGAGCTGATCTCTGTTAACTACTGATATTGGCAAAATAGAAAGTTTGAATAATACTTCTTTTCTGTCCAGCACCTTTCAATTTTAAACATGATTTTAAAAATCTTGTTAAAGAAATAATTGCAAAAAAAGTAACCTCTTCTTTTTGTGTTCTTTTTTTTTTTTTTTTTTCCTGGCAGTGTTTTAGAGCACTTTGCTGCAAAGGACCACCACCGCCACGACCTGAATATGATTTGGTTTGCATAGGCCTCACTGGTTCTGGCAAAACAAGTCTTCTGTCACAGCTTTGCAGTGAAAGCCCAGAAAATATAGTGTCTACCACAGGTAGGATGCTGTCTTCATTCCATGATGTGCTCAGGGTGTTGTCCAAAGGTAACTTTTGAAACGAATAGCAATGGCAGTAGGGAGCCTCAGCAGAGTTATCTTACTTCTGAAGGTATTTAATAGATTGCTTTGAATCTTACACAACTTGTTCAGTGTTTGGCTGTGTACTGGGGGATCTCCATGAAAACATAAAATTTAGAATATGTCAAAAGTCAGAACAGACATTGTGATGTAATTAAACTTTATGAAATGGGCAACAGCAATTTACTATAGGCAGGCATCTTAAAAGGTTTCTTTCTTCTCTTTATACTTGGCTTTTAAGCAGTCTTGTTATACAGTCAGAGAAGGAGGTCATGCTACAAACTGGAACGGGGTAACGAAGCACTGACAATTACATCATATTTAACTTCTTATACTCTTTGGTATATACTAACAACCAAAAGACTAATGTAATGGAAATTATTTTTGCTTCTGTTCTCTTAGATCATTAGAATGACTTATTTATATAGCAAAAAAGCTAGAAACAGGTTATAAAAAAGGTATTCTAAAGATAAAAAGAAACAGGTACAACAACAGCTAAAAGGTATTTTAACTAAAAAAAAAATATTGACTATGTATACGTATATAGATGTACCAGAAGGACTGATGGCTGACTGATTCTGAGCAAAAAAGCCCAGACAAAAACAACTAAAACAACAAAAAAAACATCAAAATTTCAGAGTAAGAAAAAAAAAACCTGACTCTGCAGAGTTCACAAAGAGGACAGTTTGAGCCATAAGAGATGGAAAAAAACTGTCTGTGTGGCTGCAGCAGTTTAAGCGTCAGCTGCTGAGGGAAAAAGATGTGAGTAACTGGTGTGTATAGTTTATTTGGCTTTATACTGTAGCTGTGCTTCACAGACTTGAATTCTATATGATTGTCCCTCATCTGCCCTGTTTTTCAGTGTGTCTTTGCTTAACTTACAAGAACATAAGGTTAATCAATAAAATGAAAAGTGAACTAAAGTAGACAAGAGAAAATACAATTTTTTCTGTGATGCATAGTCATCCCATTGCCTTCATAGTGGTGGTGTTAGTAATGCTAAGAACATCTTACAGTCCATTGTGGTCAATGCTCAATTCAAATGCTTGGAAGGAAGTTGCTGATCAATTTAGTCATTTTTTCCCTTCAACTTCATCTTAAGAGCTCACCCGAAATTAAAAATTTAACATTTTTGACCGTGAAAGAAAAAGTAACAGCAGTCTTAACAGCTGTATAGATCTGTCAAAAGAAATAGTGAAAATACAATTCACTTAAAAATTAAATTTCTTTAATCTTCTAAATGTCGGCAACAAATTACTATCATATGTTTAGACAATGTGAGCAATGAAAATAGACTCTGTAGAAAACTAGGTAGCGTCCAAACTATTGAACTTCAAGGTTTTATCTATACGTACCATACTTTTGCTATATAAGAAAATATTGAGAATCAGTGAATACAGTGTGACTGCTTCTCCACGTGGTTTTCAAATGGCCTGTGATTTTGCTTTTCTTATCAATGCCATTCAGATTCATTCCAGTTTTTACTTTTCGAGGAAGAGTTTAGGATTTATTTTGAGACAACAAGCTACTTTGAAATTATTTTGTACATTTTCTTACAGTAGTACTTAGAATTCAGGAATATCTTAGTTATCTGATTGGGGAGAACAAATTCCTTGTTTCTTTTAACTAATAAACCTGGATTGACGCACTTTTGTAAATGTGTTTACTTAGTTGTATGGTTGCATGCAGGTATGTAATTATGTTGAAATTGTTTGTGCCAGATGGAAATGAATTCAACTTCTGTCTGCACATTATGCTGAAAGAACAGATATATTTTTTCCTACATAGACTATTATTATTATTATATATACTTACAGATCTGTATTCTTCTCTGTATGTATGTAACACTAGACTCTTGCATAAATTACAAGCAATATGCTTGGATTGCTATAAGCCTTGTATGTTCCCTTTCTCTCAGGTTTAATTTTCAGTTAGAAGAAAGCATATATATATGTATTTTTCCAACAAATAACTTAGTCTCTTTTCTTTTTTTTAGGATTTAGCATAAAAGCAGTGCCATTCCAGAATGCCATCTTGAATGTAAAAGAACTTGGAGGTATAGCATTTATTCACTTGATTATAAAAAGTTACAGTGTCCAAATCTCATCATATTATGTGTAAAGAAATGTTTTTGCATAATGGTAAGATGTTATGACTCCAAAGAGGTCCAAGGAGTTTCCATGGAGCTCTGATGCAGATAAATTTATGCTTGCAGAATAGGAGACCTGCAAATTTGAGTAGCATCAGAAGATGTACTGGTAGCAATTGGTTCTGCAGTTTGAATGTTAGCCAGAGTGGAAGGTTAACTACGAGAGGTTATTCCAGCATACCATAAACAAGAATAGAGGAGGACAGGGAGAGGTTACTCTAGCAGTACACAGGGGTGGGAAATCCACTAAGGGAATTAGAAACATTGGATAGGCTGTTAACCCTGGAGTATGCAGCCAATTTCCATAAGGAAATTTTGCGCAGGGAAGTAGAAAATACGAACTGCTGTGTCTGTCTGATCTGGCATACCTTTTCTCAAGGTTGCCTTTTATTGCAAAAGTATGAAATAAATTGTGATTCATAGCAAATTCTGTTTGAGCCTGGAATATTGAGTATGAGCAATTCTCATAATATCAAACTGCTATTTGTATAACATTTGCCACCACAGCAGATAACAATGAGAAAGACTGATCAGAAAGTGTTATGGAAGGGAAGCCCCTGTTTTTGTTCTTATTCCTTCTTTTTGCATTCAGTTGCTAAGAAGTTGTTACCTGAGTTCTTTTGAAGGTCTTGTCCAGGCATTTGGAGGAAGGTGGGGATGCTTCTTTTTAACAATTAACTGCTTTTATTCAAGGGTGTTCATGTTATTCAAAGGTGAAATTCTATATAGTTTGGTTTTATATATTCTATTTTAGAATTATCTTTTAGGTTTATGTAACTGAAAACTGAAAGGTTCAGATGACTTCGTACAGCAAAGTAGTAACAGCCAATATTTAAAGAACTAACAGCAAAAGTCATACTATTTAAGGTTCTTCAAGGCAGCCAAGCAGCCTATGTGAAACAGATGCTGACTGTGTAGTATTCTTTTCATTTGGCTGGAACAGGATCCTTCTTTGAGGCTGAAGATGTTAATAGTTTCTAGTGTCCTGCTTGCCTGCTGGAATTGGCCAGGTTTTGTTTCTTCATTTCTGTAGGAGTTGTAAAGTTTAATGCCAAATGTAGAGAACACTTTTTTGTTGTTGTTCTACTCTAATTATCTCTTTATTGGGCTTTAGGATTAGGGACATGGAACAAAGTTTGTTGTGCTCTTCTGTAGATCAATATATATTTGCCCACCAGCCCATATATATATATATGATGTGTGTGTGTATATATACATATATAATAAATACATATTACATTTTGAAGTATATGAAATTAGAATATTAAAGAAAAGTAAAACAAAACCAATGCTGTTTCTGCTTTTGTTTTTACTGTTCTTATTTTTAAGCCAGACTGCCTTTCTACTGGAAATCAGAAATTTTATCAAATTCCACATATATAAAAAAAAAATTACATAAAATGTATATTCTATATAAGAGTGTAACTTTCAAATCAAGTATATTACTTGAAAAGGAGCTCTTGCTTTATTTACTGATTGAGCCGAACTTCCCATTCTCTAAGTCTCTATTTTAGTATACAAATAATCCCTTCTTGCTCTCTCTCTGTGAAGTCAAAAGAGAACTTCTTTCTTCCAAAAACTTTGTCCATAAAATGTCTGTAGTTTGAATTACTGTGCCCCAGATGTTGTGTGCCCTAAACCACATTTTTTCAGATTGTACTCTTTCCAGGGTAACTTGAAACATCTCTTTATGTTACACAACTTAGCTGAATAAAGGTAAAGAAAAAAATAACAGATTTGATGATTTCCTGTTATGGTTCAACAGTCTTTGTTGGTAACTGTAGGTGAAATTGTGTGTGAAGAGCACAAACAAGAGTAAGGAAAGATTACAAAAACAAGGCAGATACAAACATTGTTTGGAAGCTTCTGTTTTCTTCTAACTCTGGAAAAAGTTTGGGATATGGAATGCTGGAGTTTATTCTCAAGATAGATAATAAAGGTGTATAGGCAATACAAAGCTTTTTCTTTGACTCTAAGAAGTGTTTTTCCAATATGGAGACCAAGTACCATCATTTATTCAGTATGTTTATACAGTCATTCACTGTTGAAATGCTGTCAAAACAGAATGCAATGTCATGGCATCTGCATGATGTGTATACTTAGGCCAAAGTCAAGATTACAGGCCCATTCTGGAAGCCACCTAATAATTTACAGTTGTTTTTTTGGAATAAGTCTATTTTATAATTTAGCTTGCTATCTTGTAAACGCAAGCTTAGAAACTACTGTGAGATGCCAACTGCTGAGCCCGGTCAAATTTAAATGAGTGATTTTGGATGTGAACAGCTCTTTTTTCTTCTTCCCAAGTTTATAAATACTAACAACATGTTAGAGGATTTAGTAACTTTCTCTGTTTTATGTACTAAAATATATTGCCATGTATTTGCGTTAAGTTTTTTTAATCTACTTAAAGGCCTTTTTCGTAAGCATAGAAAATCAACGTGTTGTGTAATCATCTTTGAAATTCCATTTAAGTGTTAGCTGCTCAGCAAAAACAAAATGCTTAATATCAAGGATGCTTGGATTTCCATGAAATTGAGCAAGACCAGCATAAGAGAACTGTCCTCCCCACTGCTGTTCCTCCTTAAGCTTCGTGACTATAGTAATAAATTCGCACTGTTAAACCAGCTGAATTAATTGTTTAGGTGAGAGCTCAAGAACCAGTAATTTTAAACATGACTGGTTAAACAAAGCATGTGTATTTTGTCCTAATTTGGAAGTAACAAGCGAAAGAAGAGAAAGTAGGAAGGGGAAGTCATGCTGTGTGCAAACCAAGTTGAATGGGAAGCACAAGCTCCTGGAGAAGATGGCAATGGCTGTCAGGTCCTATCTGCCTTGAGAAAAAATGAAATAGGGTGGGGAAAATGACAGTGACCCATTAAATAGAATTTAGTATTTAAATAGGTATGGGCAAACCACAATCCTACCTTGTCCTTTGAAGAAAAAGCGTAGGACTGAACACCCTTGTAACAACATAGCCTAGTAGGGGAGCTAAAATTTCATCTGTTTAGTCATCAGAAAACTGATACTGCAAATAAATGCCAGCCTCAGTCATGCTCACTGGGACATATTTGAACAAAACAGTAAAATTTCTTTGCTGTAATAGAGTAAAAGGCAGTTGACACCTTTACAAAATGTGGTAATGGAGTGCATGTTCAGCCAACTGCAGGTGACGTATCTGCATCTAACAGTTTACGGAGCATATTAGCAAGTGACATTTTTACATGACCCTGATGAGCTGTCCAAACTGTGAGTCTCGTAGAGGTATTCGTATTCTGAAAGCAGTAAAGACGTATCTGTTTGCTATCAGTCATACATGGCCCTCAGTTCAAATAGTGCCTAAGCCCAGAATCACTCAAATAGTTTCCTCCTTTCATATATAACAGAGATCATTACACTTGTTTGCTGATCTTGTTGACTCCTGAGGAAATTTAGACAGGCATTGAGCAGTAGTGATCTTTTCAATGTTTAGAGGAAATGTTCTTTTTACAATTAGCTCTTTGCAGTGTGAATACACAGTCTATCTCCTGTCTTACTTGAAGCAAATAGGAGTTATGCAAACACTGCTTATCCTGTTATACATAGCTTTGATAAGGAAAAAATCAAAATTTTCTAATTTCAGTGTATGCAGTGTGGGGTTTAGTTTTTGTTGAATAGAATTTTTGTGAAAAGTCAAAACTTCTTGGTGTGCTAAAAAGGCTCTTTCTCCTAATGGACATGAAACTGCTTTCTTCAGGCTGAACTGACGGGGGGAAGCATGGCATTATAGCTTATCATCATAAACTGTACCTACACTTTATAAGCAACTCTCATTTCCAAAAGAAGTTTTGATTTTTCGATTCAACCCATAAATAGCTTTGAACCTTTCAAAGCCTAAAGCTGATTCAAACTTTTGTGAGCTAGTCAGCTGAAGGGCTAGACAGACAGAAATAACACAGCTGTAGTAGACTTACTGCATTCGCTATATGCCTGCTGATGGTAAGTACTGTGGAGATAGATGCATAAAGAGCTTTCCGTTGGAGATTATGAGTGCTGTAGCTGAAGGTGACTCAGCAAAGATGAGGGTGCATCTAAGCCATGCTGGGAGCTGGTAGTGGTATTCAGCCTGGCAAGCTGCTTTGCTGTTTCTGCAATCTGAGCTGCTATAGCTTCTCCAACAGAGTTAGAGGGAGGATAGAGATGGAATAGTAGGAAGAGAGGAAAGCACTCAATGATTCTCTCTCCTAGAGGACTTGCTGTGTTTGTGTTTCCAGAGAAAGAGGAAAAAAAAAAAAAGAGTTTCAGAACAGCTGTCAGACATAAAATCCACCGTGGCACCGCCTACTACGAACTATTAAAACTTCAGTTCTAGAATTGAATAAATACTAACACATATTGTATGGCATGTATTTTCTTACTGTCCTTATCAAATAATCTCTAAAATCTCATAACTAGAGCCAGAGATTTTTATTTTAAATTGCATGCTTTATTTTAAAATGGCAGTATAATATACGTAATATATATGCCTAAGTGATCAAACTGACTTTTCACAGACAAGTATAAATATGTTTTTAAAACATTTTTTTAAAACTTTTTTTTTTTTAAAAACTGCTTGAAACCTGTATGTTGTCTTAATGTTTCTCAATACCTGGATAGCTGGAGATTCAAAGTTTGAGATGGCACCTGTGGTTGCTAAGGGAGAAAAACTGAAAACTTGACTTTCATAGAAATCTCACCAGGCAAATCTGGGAGGCAGAGAAAAGATGAGAGATGGTTTCCAGGAACTTCAATTTAGTAGAAGCTTTCATGCACAGGCTTATCTACCTTGAAGTAAGGTCTCTGTGACATTTGTTGTTCTATTGCTGGAGACTTGTTGAAAGTTTGACAGCTAACAAATCTGACATCTTTGAATTCCTTTCAGTGACATTTTTTTGTGATGCTGTGTTCTGTTCTTCTGAAAGCACTGAAAATAAGGGAAATAAAATAGCTTCATACCACTATGAATGAAGCACGGAATGTTCCCTATAGGAAAAAGTTTATTAGCCACCTAAATTGTGCTGAGTACAAAATAAAGAGACTGGGACTGGATGCTTGAGGTTCCAGTGTCTTGAATACAGAGAAGGGTGTAACTCTGTGCAGTGAGAATTGAATAGTCTGTGTTGGATACTTAAAGGACATGGTGTGAATTCCTTCTTAAATACTAGTCTTCACCTTTTACTAGCTCTTTTCAGTTGTACAGTGCATAAATTAAATGAATATTTTAAGTATCACAGCAGTGTTTTACTAATTATTTTACATTACCTTGTCATTTTGTGACTACATGTTGATCAGAACATCTGTGATAGTTGTTTTGTTTCACTGGAAAGAAAGTTTTCTTATCAGCACTTGGTATCTATGTCAACACTGAAGTTCTCTTTTTCCTATCCCTACGTAAGATTTGTGGTGTATGTAAAGGATACCTTCAGCACATCTCCACAAATCACTGTCTTGCAAACATGTCAAGTTTTCTTCTAGAGTATTGCTGCCACTGTTCACTTTTTAATGCTAGACCCCATGAGTCTAGTGCCAGATTCAGACATTCAAAGAGTAGCCTGTGTCCAAATTTAATTTAGATAGTTTGACAGCTGTCAAATATCCTTTTTTCCTACCTTAACATTGCAACATATGCTGTTCTCCAGGGTACACAAAAACTTTCTAGATATAACCTTATTGCTTTGCTTCTGTTGAGTTGACGGAGTGCTGCTGAACTGTGCCCTAAGACTTACTGTCACACATAAGCCTGTAGTCATTCATCATGTGTACTGTGGGGCTGGCTTTTCCAGAATCTGCTGTGTGGTTGACAGAGCAAAATAGTTGAAATGAATACCTTTGAAAATTACCACCTTATCTTATCACTTGCTATTCAACTCACTAGTGTATTACCATTCTTATCATTTTACATGTAATTGTAATTTTAATAGGCTTTCCTGACACCTTTTTTCCTTGATTACAAGGTATTTGGAAGTTTGGAGGTGTGAAATAAAAGACTTTGTTGTACTTAATATTGAACAACTGACATGAAGGAAATTACAATTTACAGCTGTGGGGCTAAGATAGAAAGAATGGGCAAAGGCCATCTTGTTCATGTGTTAATATTGGGATATTTCAGTGAAAAAGTACAGGACTAGCCTAGATTAGGTGGGAATAGTGTAGCAGTTCTACCAGTGCTTCTTTACTGAGCAGAAATTTTCAGGGCCTTGAGTCACTTTCTTTCCTTATTTAAATGATGTTAGTTTTTGTATGTGTGCCAGATTTATGGGTGCTTTTTTCCTTTTTGTTTTTTCATTGATGTATATTTATGATAAAAAAAATTAGTTGATTGCTTTGGTTGTTACAAATAGAAGGGTTATCTTCAATTACAAGTTTTAAAGATGTTCAATTATATTTGCTCTAATTAGTTACTGTTGTTTTGAAAGGTGCTGACAATATCAGGAAATACTGGAGTCGTTACTACCAAGGATCCCAAGGAGTAATATTTGTATTAGACAGTGCCTCCTCTGAAGATGATCTAGAAACTGCGAGGAATGAACTACATTCAGCTCTCCAGCACCCACAGTTATGTACTTTGCCATTTTTAATACTGGCCAATCATCAGGACAAACCAGCAGCTCGCTCTGTACAAGAGGTACGTTATTGTGACATTATCTTGACTGTTTATATTTACTGTCTGCACACTGCTGATCCATTGTTATTTATTATCCTGACATCCTACTTAAGGACTGGCTTCAGTCATCTTTCATTGTAAATACACAGAACAAGTACAGTCCCTGACCCTAAGAACTTATTCCAATGCATTATCAACAAGAAATTCTTGGATACAAACAGAATTCTCCTGCATTTTCTCCATGATTTGCTTGAGGGTAAAAAGATGTTTTTAACTACTCTTATCAAAAGATGCTAGGACAGTGTTTTATGGGTTTTTTGTTGTTTGTTCTGCTTGTTGTTTTTTGTTTTATTTGCTATTGGTTTTAGTCTATCCCATTACTCCATTCTTTGAAATTGCTTAAACTAATAGGTTGTTTGCTGTTGTGAGGAGCCTTTTCCATAAAAGCTTTTTTCCTTAACTTTTACATGCTGGTGTGAGAGCACAGTTGCAGTTCTTTTTCTGAAGTTCTTAACCTGTTCTGATTTTCTTCTTCTTAAATAATATCTTGTATTCACTGCTTGGTAAATCATATATTTTTTCTATTCAGTGTACCATTTGCCCTTAAGTTTCTGAAAAAAATCTTCATTGATACTTTCCAATGAAGTCATTTGTCTTTGAGGAAATGCAGAAAGTATTTATTCATAACAAGAGACTCTATTTCCGAGGTTACAAGAAGAAATTAAAATTCAGTTTTGTCATTCTGTTTGTAAATGTCATTTAAAGGACTCTTCACATTAAAGATTGTATGTGAAATCTTGCTTGTTCTTTGAGTCATGTTTTTCACACAGCAAAATCAAGACTCTTTCAGCACCTTAATTTGTTGCTGATTGTTATTCTAAATTCTGCTGTCACAGATGTGCTTCTTTGTCCAAAGCATTACCTTTATAAAGAATACTGATTGCATTAATTGCACAACTTAATCTTATGTAAGTTAACTATTGGTATGCTACATTTGTGTATGCTTTCTCTCCTGCATTATTTGCATTATGTCTCTTTTGCCAAAATAGAAAGTTTGTGCTAAAAGGGAGAAATGTAAATGGGATTGAGATATAGTGAGATTTTTAGTACGAGAGGAAGAAAATAAGTGCAAGTTAAACTGTAGAATTTTGTATTAAATTGTTGATCCTTTAATCCAAGAATCTATGTTTAAAAAAGAAAAAGGATATGGATTTAGTATATGAAGTTACTCAAATGAAGTTAAGCTCAAATGATACAGGGATTGAAACCTCTACGTTTTGAAAAGGGATTGAAAGTTCTACGTCTCATTCATCCAAAAATAGATTTAGGAAATGACAATTAATGTTTGGAGCAAATGATCTTAATACACAAATTTATTTTCTTCTAGTTTAATGTTCAAGATAAAAGTAAAGCATTTTTTCTTAATCCTTTCTAGTCCAATGACAATACCCTGAGACATGCCTTCATTTAAATCATGTTTAATTTAATTTATCCAAATCTACCCAAAGCGTTATGATTTTATTTTTTAACAGAGCAGTGCAGTTATGATTTCCATCAACAGACATTTCTTTTTTATTATTTAAGTATTTTCAAGCATTTCTTGTATGATTATTGATCTTATTTGAGAAACTTTTATTCTCTGGATTCATGTGAGTAGTGAATACAAGGGAGGAACCACTGTCTTTCTGCCAAGTGACATGTGCCAGTTAGTTTGCAATTTATAGATGAAACTTTTCATTTTGCACTTGAGCCTAGGTGAACAGACTTTTCAGCATATAATAAATCTTTCATGTACTTAGAATAAACATTTCTTTTTGTTTATCCTCATTTACTCTCATTCCCTCCTTATCCCTCTCTGTCGTTACCAATTGGACATCTCAGTAGAGGAATAGATTTTTATATTCTCTCTGTAGCATTTAAATATATTTCTGTTGTGTATATGGTGTATATTCATAGCAAACAAATCTCGATTACTACTTTGAGTCATTCTGGAATGCTGAATACAATAATTCTAGTAAATGTGCACAACTAATGCATAGGTTCAGAAAAAAAATATTTTATCAAGATGTCAGTGTATGTCTTTGAAATTCTTTACTTAAGAATAATAAGGAAAAAAAAAAAAAAAGAAGAGTATTTTGATGAACTGAGGGAGACTGTCACACAATTATTCCTGGTACTTTGTCCCTGAAAAAATGATGTCATGTGCTTGCTTGAATGCAAAGCAGGAGCCTTACTCAGTTTTGCAGATGTTGAATTAGAAATTTCTAGCTTTCTTAAAGGTGTGCTTTTTGCTGTGCTTTTGTTCTCATTAGTGAGGTGGGACATGAATGAAAATAAAATACTATATAATTGTATGACTATTTCTTGTTTCCAAAAGAGCATTTTTAAAGATTTAACAAAGACAATCTCTTGAGCATTGAGAATTTTCTTGGTCTTTTTTTGCAGAACTGACTTCATTATATTTAGATATTGTCTTGATATTTCTTGTGTCATAAAATAAATGAATCGCAATTGAAATTTAAAAGAAGCAAGTATTCTTTTAGACAACAATTTACCTTTCTTTAATGGATACGAAAGGATCCCTTGGAGTATAATTAAAGAAAATATCTGAGTTGAGTGGTGTGTAATAGGAATTGTAGAAAAATATTTATCTGTAACAAAAAATCCCTCACAAAACTGAACAAGTGCCAAGCAGTTTCTGCAACAGATGTTAGTTATATTTATTGTTGAGAAGTACAGTTGCTCTAGCTTTTCAGCTAAATTTTGTGTTTCATGTGTTTCACTCCATGCAGGAGATAGGTAGATAAAGTACTTCAGAAGGTGTATGCCATAAGAATTAAAAAGTATCATCAATAGCTCAGTTCAAAACTACAGTAATTATTTGGAAAAAATATCCAGTCAGCTTGTAGGTGAATCTAATTGATTTTGCAGACATCATTGCAGAATATACTTCATATTATATTCACCATATCAGAAAAAGTTACAGGAGAAGCTAAGCTGAAATACTAATCATTAAATGTAATCCTGTTCGTCTGTATTCAGTTCCTGGTTAGCTACTTTTAGTTTATTTTTTTGTTTGTTTGTTTTTTGTTTTTCCAATCAAAATCATAGATCAGTTAAAGATCATCTAGTTCCAGCCGTGCTACCACAGAGATATCTTCCACTAGAGAGAAAATAAACACCCCCCCCCAAAAAAGCATTTGGCATTTCGTTCTAAAAACTATAAATAAAGAAGTTACTTTGATTCTATGATTCTATGATTTAAATATGGAGCCTTTACATCATGTCATCTCAAATTTTGTGATGTTTATTCCATATTTATTCCACTTTTTCATATCAAAGATATTTATAAGTTGTTTTGATGGTGTGACAGTAGCACACAATTAAATCTTTTTAAATAGCTGCTAAGTGATTTCAAGTGAGTATTGTTGAAATAAAGACTGTGCACGTCAATTGGAACACAAAAGTCGGGCAACTGTATTTGAGTCAACAGATATGTTGTAAAATAGCCTCATTAGTAAAATTACAATAATAAAGAGTTAGTCATTTGAAAATTGCTTCTTAATGTTGTTTTAGAACCCTTCTGAATTAGGAAATATAAAGAAATAAGTTTCTCACCAGAAGAGAGGGTAGTGTGAAGGTGTCTAGCAGGTTTATGGTGAGAAGACCATTGTAAATTGCTTTGCAAGTGAATAAAAGCACTGCTCTGATGATAAACTTTTTTTTTTTTTTTTAATTTTGGAATATGTGATACTCTGTTTATAATGCTAGGAGCTGGGTTTTTCAGTATATTCCTATGAACCAGTATGCAAACTACAAGTCACTTCCAAAGTCAGAACAATGTTTAGAAGTGACAAGTAGGATGAACTGAAGGCTGTCAGTAGCCACTGTACTTAAGAGGCAAACAGCCATGTGAATCTTCTGAGGACATACAGAAGCCATGTCAAGGTAGTGAAGGTTGAAAGTACTGAACCATGAAGCATTACCAGTTCAGTGGTGAAGCAGCTACATTACTTGTTGGGGTGCTGGTTTGGGGGAGCTTGTGATTTTTTGTATTTAAGGCTGTTTTCATGACTGCACATGTAAAGGCACCCATAGAGTGTAGCTTTTGTTGAGTTTTCTTTTAGTTATCCAATTGTGCAGGCAATAGATAAGTTTCTTTCATACTTAAAAGTTGTTGACACTAGTTTCAGGGGATATCATTGAAGGTATTTTCTAAATCCCCTTTTTTTAGTAATGCTAGGACTTTTAAATGTAGACTGTAAATGTAGGACTTTAAATATAGAGAATCACAGTCATGAACCAAAACTCTTCTCAATCTATTTTAAGATTGTTATCTTTCTAAATATCATTTTCAGGAAAAAAGAAATGCATAAAGATATTATGTAGTGAGCCACTCGCAAGTGCTTTTTATCTCTTGCAAACAAGGTCTTACTTTCAATCTGTAATTTAGTTTGTCATACTCCAGAGAAAAGTCTATCTCAATTTTCTCTTTTTCTTCATCAGAGCATGATTAAAAATGTCTTTGACTTACGAATAGTGTTTTCAAAGCAAAATTTCTTCATTATATGGATTGTGGTGTTTTTATCTATTTGGGAATAATTTAGGCGTTTGGGTTTTGAGTTGTGAATGCTGTCCAATGTCATTTTCTGCTAAGAGAAAATTGGAGAGTGACTCTTCTTGCTAAAAGAACCACCTTAGTGAAGTAGGGACCAGAATCTATTACACTGCAATTTTCCTCTCCCTTGTTTGGAAATTATTGTGTAAATAAATATCTTCTACTTCTCTTAATGTCTTAAAGCTAAATAATTGTTGAATGAGAACATCCAGCTTTGATAGGATCGGTGGGGGTTCATGCTCATGAGGGAGAGATGGAGATCTGTCAAAACTGCTCTTTCTGGTCTTAATGCTTTATGATCCAAGCTAGCTGCACAATAGGCTTAATTCGAAGATTCAATTGTTTCTTTTTATTTTGCATGACAGAAATCGTTCTTCATGCTATTTTGCCATAGTTTATGTCT